GTTAAAAGCTTCCTCTGCTACCTTCCAGTTATCTTGGTTCTTTCTCTTTCTTGTCAGGTAGCCTAGCAATACGCAACTTGCAGCAAGTCATCCATTTTGTTTTAATAGTAGAAAATGTTTTAATTATATGCTTATTGATGCATCAGTTTAAAAAAAAAAAAAAGTTCATGTCTTCCTCATACAGAATATGTCTGCACCTCCCAGATTACTGTCCTTCATAATGTAAAAATCATTGTATGTGTGAAAAAGGAAAAAAAAACATTACTTGATTTATACTAGATGAACATTCTTCATATCCATCATCCATTGGCATGATATTGATTGAAATCTTTCAGGAAAAGTCCAGAGTAGTTATGCTACTGATTGCTTATGTATAGGAATTAGTTAGCAAATAGACTAACTGACAGATTGGATGAGGTTTTTGGGGTTGAAAATTAAATACTTCTTGATATCTTCATAGGATCTGCTCACTGTTCTAGAAGTGCTGTCAATGGAGATCTGGTATCACCAACCATTCCTGAAGAAAATAGATCAGTACCAAGGGAAAGATCTGAACTGGAAGAGACTCTTTCATCCTTTTCTTCTTGAAGAAACTGAAAGTATTCAATTTTCTATAAATAACGCTATGCAAAGGCTGCTGTAATTATACTGTTGTTATAGGAAGTAATCATTTCCCTTTTTAGAAGGATTTCTCTGCACTTTATAGAAAAACATAAAAACTATCTTTGAAGTGTATTTTATCTTTATATAGTTTATTTGCAAGAGTATTTTCCTAATATTTCACAGTTTGAATGTGCATTTTTTTGGAACAAATGATGGCTTAACAGATAAGCATCCACATTTGTAAATGTAGCTCTTTTTTAAAAAGTGCGAAGGTCTGACTGACACATTAGTAAACCTGCAGGTTATAAACTTTAGCAAAAAGGTTTCTGTTTCGTGGGTTTTTTTTTTTCTTTTTGAGAAAATGCAACTTGTGCCATGGGCCTCTTGGTCATTTGTACCAGGTCATCCACCAGGAGCTGTGATTAGCCCTGCAATGGCTTTTTTGCCTGGGTAAGGGCTGTGGGAATGGGCACTATTGGGTCTACTCTAGCAGCCTGATGGTAATTGACATTGCCTTCTTTAAAAACACGAGGATATACATAATCCGGTCCTTATTTTTAGCCAATGAAAGTAGAAATATTGAGTGTATTTTTCTAAACAAATGTATAAAAGTAACTTAATATGAAGCATTTGTACCAAACATTGGATATTTAATAATTTTTATTTATTTATTCTTTTTTGCATCAAAAATTTCTACCTACTTTCACGTCTAAAGATCTACTAAAGGCTTCAAAATGTGCATAAATTGTTTCTGGGGTGTGTATCATCACAAGTAGCTAAAGCACTGTTAAGATTTACTCTACTCACTTAAGATGTGTTTTTAGCAAGTATTATAGAAGCAAGAGCTGAAATATTAGACCATTAAGCTGCTGTTGTAATGAATATTTGTAGCTATACATATTTTATTTATGACATATTTATTCAAAAGGGAGCTTCTGTTTTTGCAACTCCTTTGTATCATTTGAGGATGGTATATACCAGGAGATGGATTCTGCTCTCGGCTACACCAGTGTAAATTTACATTAACTATAAGTGAGATAGGAGTCTGACTCTCTTAATAATTCATGAGTAATGTAGTATAACAGTGCCTACTAGCACCTTGGTCCATAAGGTTGTTAGTGTTAGCATTGTAAGCTTTTGGGGACTTTTGGGTGTTCGTTTAGGGATAAGCTTGGTCTATAAAGTCTTAGCTGTAGAGCACTTTAAGCAAGCCATTTACTGTTTTTGATTTACACAATTGTTAAATAAATGTACAGGGTTTTTTGCACTCAAGCACATACCAAAATCTGTTTTTATAATCAAATCATCTTTAATTTGGTTTAACTAGTCTTCCTTTTGTTTATATGAATAATTCGGTGTTTTTGAAGCAGGCTGGAAAGGACAGATGGGAATGGAATGGAAGCTGATGGGAATGGAATAGAAGCTTTCCTTATAAATTTCTGAAATGTTGATTTATCTAAATCAAAATAGGTCCAAACACTGAGGAAAAACATATGAGCTGTTGCCTATATATAAAATAGCAGTTTATAAACCATTACGTCAGGGTCAAATGGAATGGCTTGTAAACAAGTAAAGCTGTGGATACCAGCTCAGAGCTGTCCTTTGTGCTTGGTTCTGTCAGTTTTCATGCAACTAGCATTTGCATATGCATATCAGCCACAAACATGCTTGTACATTTTTTTCCCTGAATGTTTGCTTTAATGTATTCTGTATGATACTTATGACAATTGTAAAAATAAGTATTAAAAAAGATGTTCAGAGAAGTAAACTACATGTTGCAATGAGTGTCTTGAGTCATATACTGTCTTAGAAATGCTCTTTGAAATTTCACTGAGGTTTCTGCCAGCTTGTACAGTGTTAAGTACATGTCACATTAATAAATACGTTTTCTGGCTTTCAGCTACTACAGAGAAAATAGTTTGGACTCCACATTGTGCGCAAAAAAAAAAAGCCTGAGACTGATCAGTATATGTAGTAGTAAATAATAATTTTAAATACTGCCACAGATAGGATTGTTTACACAAAAGTTGTAATGATTAGATTCAAGTACAAAATTTGCATATAACTACTTCAGCTCTGTTTTGGGTTTCTCCATGTCACTAAAGCTGGAATGATGGCTTTGTATATATGTAACATGTTCCTGCTAAAGTTAAATCAACTTTTATATATATACCATGGGCTAAATCTGTGGCAAAAATCCTAAAATGTATTTCAGTGAAATCAGTGAAGAAGATATGCCATCATACTTTTGGCACCTGGAGCTAAGAAGTAATTTCTGAAAAAGATACTTAGCTGGCTGAATCACAATGATCCATGTGTACTGAAAAAAATCAGGATGCTCTTACATTTTCATTTCCAAGATTAGGAGGGAGCTTATCAGGA